GATTACGACATTGTCGTAGAGAAATGATTTTTTAGTCGTTCAGTTAGGACGAATAGTTTAAGAATGATTTCCGTCGCTATGAAAATTAGCGACTTTTTTGTCGCTAATTTACGACCAAATTTCTAACTGTGTAGTGTTCCCCAAAGCTTTCTTAATTGCTAGGATTTTACTACAATTTCAGACTGATCACCAGTTAAACCGATGTTACCCGAGTTTAAGGTCATAAGGTAAACAATCAATTGTGGGTCACGAATCAATTGGGGGTCTTTTTTTTCGACGGGTCACCGCAGACCCGATGGGGCTGAATCGATTTGAATTTCGCGGTATCTTTCCTCCAACCCTCTTTGTCTCCCCAAATAGCGTGTATGTCCGAGCGACGACTGTAACGGCCCCTATCAGGCTTCAAAAAAAGGCCCTTCAAAAGTCTTAAAAATGGCGCCCATCCAACGAGGCAAAAAATCGTGTTTTTTTCAAATTGCCACCTTGAAGCTATTACGAGGTAAAAGGGGGACGCCCTTGCTGATTTAGGGACATAATAGGTCAGGGAATTAAAATTTACCATAGTAGAGCCGAAATCATTCGATGCCATGGTGCGCGGGTGATGGCAAAGTAGCGTTTGCTACCATGTCAGACTTATTATTTTAGACGAATTTCAGGGTAGTTTTTCTGATATTTTTTTTTTTTTTCTGCGCTTGAATGACTGATGTATCAGAGAAAATTTCCTTTTTCTGCTCCGTCACATTTAGTACTCCGATACGAAGGTTATTTTAAAGCTAAGGGTACGGCTACAGCCCCGAATGACAACGCTAGCTCTTACTTCCGGTCTGCCGCAAGGCTTTTTGGCCCGCCCTTCTATTCAAAAAAGGGGGGAGGGCCCATGCATTTGCCTTTTTGTCTGTGTGTTGTTGTTGTTGTTGTTGTTTGGGGTGTGTGTACAAGGAAGGAGTTGAGCTAGAGTAACCAGATTTGGAGGGTACTTCAGGAGTACCGTCCAAACAAATAATCCGGTGGTGCAAATCCCCTCCGGGTCGCACAAAGGGCCCGCTGCAGGGGCATCATGGTTTACATGAGCGGGAGGGGGATTTCCGCCATTACTGGTGCTAGCAGGCACATAGGGGGATTTTTGGAATCGGGGCGACGAGACAAGATGAATGGACCTGGTCCCGACCCCATCGGCCGCTTTTACAAGTTGGCCAGATCAGGATCTTCAAAAAAGGGGGTCGACCGACTAAAAAAAATTTTTGCAGATTTCGATTGGGCTCAGCAAGACCTTTTCAACGAGGGGGCGGAAAGGGGGGCCAGGAGCCCGATTCGTCTATTAGTCACATCAGGATCTTGAAAAAAGGGGGTCGACCGACTGAAAATTTTTACTTAAGTTTTGGGTAGGTCTTGGCAAGACCTCTTCAACGAGGGGTCGGAAGGGGGGGCCAGGAGCCCGCCTTCATGAGTTATGGGAAAAGTGCGACGGACTCGTTTTGCGCTCCTGCTGTGCCTCCATTGCAAGGAGTTGCAGTAGCATGGCAAATATGGGTATTTTCGGAATGAGGCGAAGAGACAAACGAAATGGGCATATTCTAAGGACAGTTGGAGTAAAAAGTGTAAGGACTATGCATATTGTGAATAGAAGGGCGGGCCTAAGTCACGATGGTACATCGATAACTTTGCTTTACCCGCTCACGGGGTGTGTGATGCGAGCGGGCCGAAGGCCCGGGCCTTCGACTGGCCCAAAGTTGGGTCTGACGAGGGCCGAAGGCCCGAGAAAAGGCCGCCGGCAGGCCAAGCGGGCCGGCCCCCTGTCGAACCGAGTTGCCGGCGCAGCGAAGCGGAGCTGGCAATTCGGTTCGACGGAAGGGCGGGCCCTAGCTTGTTTTTGTTGGGGGGGGGGGAGGGCATTGGGGGGTTACAAAGAGCCCGGAAGGGGACCACTCTCCAACTGCAGGCTAGGCACCCGAGGCTAGTCCACCCCTGTTATAACGAGTCAAATCAATCCCTACAGACTAAATATTCTGACTGAAATAGATGATATACTGTAGCAATACCTCACGATGCAGGGTTGTGTTGTTGGATTGTCTACCACACCGGGGCCCCTAGAATATCCACCCTAGAATATGCAATATAAAAGCTTCATCTCTAATCCAGGACGTTCAACTCACAGTAAAATTAGCCTGCACTGGTAAAACAAAGGCATAAAAATTACCCTTTTGGGCGTAAATGGTATAGGAATTTCAAGAAAACCCTTTTAAAAAAAAAAAGTCGAAATTTTCAGATTTTTTGGGAGGGTCAATTTTGAAACCCAGTGGTCTGATTTTCAGACCCCCGGACACTCTGAATTTTTGGACCACCTGTCTCTGAATTTTCAGACTAGCATGTACTTTGAATTTTACGACTACCAGGTGGTCTGAATTTTCGGACTATTGGCGTCTGAATTTTTCACCTCGCGGGTTTGAATTCTAACCCGCCCGGGTAATAAATTCCACTTTTGTCAGGATTTATATTATGTTTTTGGAGATGCATGTTTTAAATTGCTGAGAAAAATGGAATGCATGCACTAAATAGAGCAATTGTAAAAAGCTCTTTTGTTGTTAAATGTAGCACCCAAAGTTGCGCAAAAATTTAACTAGATATGATTTTTGCTGAGAGAGCTTCCCAAAAAAAACTAGTCCCGAATGTAAGACTCCAGAAGATGCAGCTGTAAACACTGGAAGCAGCATGTTGGATCCAGATCCACACTTTGTGGAAACTTTTTCGGCACGATGAAAATACTTTGGGGGCGAGGATGAAAGAGGAGTGACAAATTTTCCAAAAAGCCACCCACTCGCTCATCACCCGTCCCCTTTTGTTTGGGAAAACGCAATATCAGTATAAGGCTACCCACTTTCACAGCCTGCTGGCTGCGGATTTCGGATGCTTCAGAGTGGTGACTGCACGGCACCCAGAAGCAATTTTGGAGCACGGAAAGGCGAAGGCAAAACGGCACTGTACACACGGCGCGGAGCGCCGATGTAACACATAAAACGTTGCTTCACGACGGAGCGTCACAAGAAAGATGACACGCGACGCGGACTTGTATTCGGATGCGATGTGCACTGCTCTGGAGACAAGCTAAAACTGACGCATTCTGTCCAGAAATCCCGAGTGGCCGAGGGTTTAAAGGGCCCCCTCCTCTCCCCCCGCCCCGCGCGGTAGGCTTCGGCCGGCACGCCGGTCCGCGGTGATTTTCCGAACGCCCCCGGGTCGGCTCGGTGTGCCTGGCTCGGCTGGCCGCCGCCGGAGCGGCTCGGCTCGGGTGGCCCGGGCTTTGGTCCAGGCCGGAACCAGGGCAAACATGTCGCATCCTGCAGCTACCAGCGGAGTGCAGGCTGATTTTAAGCTCAACACTAGACGGCCGTTCGCTTAGCTGAGCAAAAGTTTTTTTACTACTGCTCTAGCATTCAGGGTCCATAGCACCTGAAACGCAGTCATGCCTTTTATCAGAAAAAAAAGCGTCAATTTCAGACTGCGCAGGGTGAAAATTCAGACCTTCTACTACAAATGCTGTTTTAAGACCCCGACGCCGAAAATTTTATACCGCGCCATCCAAAAATTCAGACTCTTGAGTCCGAAACCATTTTTCAGACCACAAGGTGTAAAATTAAACCAAATGTCTGAAAAATTTTGACTCAATCTGAATTTCAGATTCAGACCACTAGGTCTGAAAAAAATTGGGCTGAATTTTCAGACTTTTTTTAACAGTGAAATTTTTAAAGCCCTTCCCAAAGGGATTAACGATTTATGCCCTTTAAGGGGGTAAATCGTTTACGCCCTTTAAAGGGAAAATTTTTAAAGCCTTTGTTTTACCAGTGTGTGTAGTATTTTTCCTCTTTGAGTGAAAAACGTGCTTGCTTGGTTTTTTGGGAAACCCAAAGGGGCCCTTTTAAAAAATGAAAATAAGAAATATCTTGCAAAAATGGTCAATTTACAAGCAAAAAAGGGGAAAAGGCCCCAATTGAT